CAAATTATTGAGACATTGAGGATTTCAAGGCAACAAAAAAAGACTTTATGGTAGCTGGATAGCCTTTTGCAGCATGGTACATCCTACTTAAGTAGGTGGAAACTGAGAAGTAGGGCATTGTATATGATACTAGTTTAAAACAATTACGTAAAGATAAAGTGATATGATACCTTCTGATAATTCTAATAACCCAAACATTCTAAATTCCAGCGGATGCTTGCAGCAAAAATATTAGGTAATGACTCCAAGTCTCCAAGCTATAAAGCTGAACTACTTTCGCTGTTAATTCGTTTAAAACAAACTAATCACAGAATAAAAGCAAACACTATGCATCACGCAATTTAATATACTCTTTGCCACAGACTTTTTAACTGGGTTCATCCCAAACTAGTTATAAACTCCAAAACAAAGAAAAGTCGCTAACCTGAGAAAGACAATGCTCTTTTTGTTGTAGTGCATATAATGCTCCTTTAGCATACCTTCCCCAGTTATTATCCCCCTCCAATTTAGCATGACCATTTGCATTGGTCTCTTCCTTCTTGTTATTAGAGTGATTTGGATACTGCTTTTCATCAACTCTGCAGTTTCCACGATATAAGTCAATGAATGTTTATTGCAGCAGTGAGCACGAAAAGTTTGCATTTACATACGCCTGTGAAAAAGTAGGCTAATATTGACAGGAAATCCAAAAATTGAAGTCCTACCACATTTTACATCATTCAAAGCAAGCATGATTTTGATTTCTCCCAAATTTTGGGGAAAATACAGAATAACAAACAACTCTAGTTTCAAAAGGGAAAGGAACTCACATGGTGAAACCTTATACATACAATTCTAGTCCCCTTTGTACTCAGCTATATAGTGATATAATAAAAGCAAGCAATAAGATCCAAGTAGAACAAATCATACACCTAAGCAGAAAATTTAGAAAGAGTCGAACAAACTACAGTAGAAACTTTCTTTGAGAAAGAACGGATGTAGAGGGAGGGAGTGAACTGGTTGGAGGCATTCACATTAAGTTAGTGATTATGTTATTTCTAGTAAACATGAATTGCCTTCTTTGGCCTGATCCACAGGCAATTCACAATCACAGCAGCATTAGAAGATTTCGTTCGATATTGCATGGTATAGGATTATTTCATTTCAGCCTGTAGGCAATCTAGTGGTGATGATTTGTTGACATGAATTCAGGAATGAAAGCCTGCAGTTTTCACTTGCTAATAATAAAAGTGTTACTAGGGTTGTTATTGATGCATACTTCTACAACAGTTATAAGATATGAAAGAAAAAGATTTTAGTGTGTACTGCACCTGAAGTTGACATCTCCTTTGAACTGAGCTGAACGGAGTACAACCTGCAAGAGCTCCAAAAATTGCTTTAAATCTAAATAGGACGGAAACTTGGGTTTCAAGATAAAAATATGTTGTTCTTGCATAGATTATTCGTGAAGAAATATAAACAGGTAGAGATCAATATCTCCATGTGCGGAGAAAGTTTAAGAGCTGAAGTTGAACACCCCAAGAAATTAAAACACTAACAATATACATAACAACCATGGTTTTAAAAATCAATTTAAAGCAAAAGTAACAGGTATCGTACAATTGTTGTTATGCTACCAAAAGAGTGTGATTGTCACACCGAGAACACACTAGAGTAGTACACTTTTACACTTTGGTACCAAGAAAGGAGTTGTATTATAACGGCCCAAGCCCACCACCAGCATATATTGTCCTCTTTGAGCTTTTTGGGTTTCCCCTCAAGGTTTTTAAAACGCGTTTGCTAGGGAGAGGTTTCCATACCCTTATAAAGGGTTTTTCGTTCTCCTCCCCAACTGATGTGGAATCTCACAATCCACCTCCCTTTGGGGCCTAGCGTCCTTGCAAGTACTCGTTCCCTTCTCCAATCAATGTGGGACCCCCCAATCCACCCCCTGCACACCGCCTCGTGTCCACCCCCTTAGGGGCTCAGCCTCCTCGCTGGCACATCGCCTCGTGTTTGGCTCTAATACCATTTGTAACGGCCCAAGCCAATTGCTAGCAGATATGGTCTTCTTTGGGCTTTCTAGGCTTCCCCTCAAGGTTTTTAAAACGTGTCTGCTAGGGAGAGATTTCCACACCTTTATAAAGGGTTTTCGTTCTTCTCTTGAACTGACATGGGAGCTCACATATATTCTAAAATCTAAGGAAATATTTTCCGGTACTTACCATGATTACCAATAAGGTAGATGGCATGATCAGATTAACTGAACATTGATTTTAAATTGCCTTGATGTAGGAACTACTTGATCCATGGTTTGATAAAGCTGAAACATCATAGTCTATTTACATCAATTCAAAAACAGAACACATTTCAAGCCATCTTAACGTTGCTACTATAAAGCATCAATAACCCGGTTTTTGTGTGGTCTCACTCACTATCAAGTCTATCAACGAGTCCTCGACTCAGTAAGAGTGTCTTTAGAAATTGATTGAAGAACAGTTTCTTTTTAAGGCGCATAGTCAGTAGTCGATCATCACCTTCCATGCAAAACATAACAGTCGATGGGATCTGCGCTTATAGTTACCGTTGCAGGTTTTATAATCGAAGTTCAAAACTCCACACTTCTTCCTTATAAATGTCTGTTAACGATGTTTTCTATGACTGCATCAAGGCGCTGCAACCATATGCAGATATAAACCAAAACATTCTGATTTCACCATATACATCGAATATAACACAGATTTAAACCCACATGTGAGTAGCTGTTTTAAGGCAATAAAAAACCCTATAGTAATGCTACATTCTTTAAAAAATGCTACTAGTCTCTCATTTGAGATTCAGGAAATTGTAATTCAAATGGCTACAAAGAATTTTACAATGGCATAATCATTACCTGAGCATCGCCAGAAGGAACAAATCCTAAAAGCACTCCCTTATTTATGGCCATCGCTGAAACATTCCCACCCTAGCAACCAACATAAGAGTTCAAAAGAACTTTAATGTCATCTTCTGACTCCGTTATTTACTAACAATGTAACCCAGGCAAAATGCCGCTACTCTTATTGCGTTAACAGCACAAATATGAACTTCAATGAGATGCAGATGCAAATTTTTAGAATCATCATGTCCGACTAACCTGATGATCAATATGAGCTCCCAGTGGACAAATGCGATACGGAGAGACAACTATGCGAACGTGCTCCATACTTTTCTTGGACATTTCCGAAACAATTTCCTTGATTCTATTAAGCTAAAACAAACAAGCAGATCAATTACAAATGAACCATGAGAGATCCAATATAAAATCACAAGAGATTAAGATTTATGCCAGGAACAATCTCCCATTAGATCCCCATACTAGCATTGAGCTAACTAATGATGCACAGATCCAATACAGAATATACAAGGTGAATCAAAATCAACATCCGAGCAAACACGTACAGAATATCAACAAAAGATTCCAGCCATAAATAATTAAACAGAACACGCATAACGCCAGCGAAATCATGAAAACAAACATCAAACAATCCAGAAACCAGTGAAATCCACACAGAAACTAAGCGAAAGAGATTCAAAAAAGCAAAAACAACATGGAACCGCATTGCAAATTGAATAGAAGTTGAAAAATTACCTGTTTCTCCGAAGGCCAAGACGGCTTCTCCATGCTCTGCAATGCCAAAAAAAAAACTTGCCGCCGCGATTGGGTATAGAGGACAGCCAATAACGAGATTTCTAAGGTTTCTCAGAGGAGAATGATGAGTAGAGCTGACGAAATGCAGAGCGTAAAATAATGGAGCTGGCGATAGGATCGGGTTAAACGTCTTGTCTCGTGAAATAGCTATCGCCTTCTCCACAGCCTAAACATGGACGAACGTTTGGCTGTATTATCTTGTCCGATCGGTTTGACGCGGCTGGTACAATTTTGCTTTTCGCTTTGTCTTTTTAACTGTATTCTAATTTACGCGGATAAATCCTTCGTTGCCCCCAATATGGACGGTCTAAAGAATATTTATCCAACTCAATCCTCTATTTTTCTTTTTTTTATATTATTTTATTAACTATTTAAAAAAAATTATATATTAAAAATTAAAATATTTGTAAGAATATTAATTATTAAATATTTTTTAAAAATATAATAAAATTGATTGACCAAATCGACGAATGTTAACCCACCAATCGAATTAATTTTTTAATTTTTTAAAAAATTCAACTTAACTCAAATGGTATCAAGCTCAGGTTGGACAGTCCATATTGATCAAGTTATCATCGAGTTACATGAACATGTTTGAAAAAAAAATAATTAATATATATATATCGAATTGGCTATTGAAAAGGTTGAAAAGGAGATGAGGTAATGGCTCTCTTTCGACTATATGCATCTCCAACCTGGTCTCCAACCGGCACAGAAATTGGCTCAGCACTAGCAAAAATGTGTTGAGCCAATTTCTGTGCCGGTTGGAGACCAGGTTCGAGATGCATATAGTAGAAAGAGAGCCATTACCTCACCTCCTTTTCAACCTTTTCAACCTTTTCAATAGTCAATTCGATATATATATATATATATATATATATGAATGAAGCATCTTCGAGGAGAATAGATTTTTTTAATTTAAAAAATTGAAATAAATGAAAAATAATTTTCCTGGTAACTCGCACGTGTGAGGTGGGGAAGTGAAATAATAATCCCTTAATGACCAATAAAAAAAAATGCCACGTTGCAAGTAAATCTGATTAGGCGCCAATATTGTTTATATGCTAAATTAAAAAAAATAGAAAGATGAATTGGGCTTCATCTTCTCTCTCAGAGGAATAGTTTTTTTTTAATTTTAAAAATTGAAATAAATGAAAAATAATTTTCCTAATAACTCGCACGTGTGAAGGTGGGGGAAGAAAGCGGGAAAGTGAAATAATAATCCCTTATATGACCAATAAGAAAGTGCCACGTTGCAAGCAAATCTGATTAGGCGCCAATATTATTTATTTATATGCTAAATAAAAAAAATAAAAAATAAAATGATGAATTGGGCTTCATCTTCTCCCTCAGCGGGGCTTTCCAGAGCTCTCTAGACAGCCAGAGAACAGAAAGCCCTTTTCCTTCTATGTCAGCGGGCTTCTTCTTCAACTGTTCTTCCTGTTTTTCCTTCTAATCTATTGCTGCTTAGTTCATCGAAGTTGGTCGGAAGGGAATCAGATTTTTCAACAACGGTTCTGTTTTCTGCGGTGAGGAAAGGAAGTCGTGTGGGAGCATTAACAGTAGAGATTTGGGGGAGGATTTCTTCTTTGATCGGAGATGAAGATGAAGATGAAACGAAAAGATCTCGATCAATTTAACGACGAGTTCTCGGAATTCTCCCTTTCGTCGCCTGCTAGGAAGATTCGCCGTCTGGTACCTTTTTTTCCCTTTCCGATTTTTGCTTCTTTCAATGGAGTTTGTAGAGCTTTGTGCTGAGATTTTTTTTTTAATTCCGATTTTATCTAGGATGTTGGTTTGCCGCCTATTATAGAAGAGGAAGAACCGCCGGAAATTGCTGTTTTAGGCAACGAACCATTGATGCCTGAAAATTTCGTAGTAGGTGGGAATGGTCTGAGGATTGAGGAATTACCGGACGCTTCTTCTGTTTCTGCTTCAGCTTGTGCAACGGGAGATCGTCCTTTCCGCGACAATCACGAGAGGGCTATTGTTCTGTTTAATGCTGCTAATACGCCTTTCTTGCAGTCATCTCCTTTTTCGGTCTCTGTCGATCCTGACATTATTTCTGGCTTGAAAAGTAAGTACTGATTTCAATTTAGTTTCTCCGTATTTTTCTCATTTTCGTTTCGATTTCTGAAACCTACATTTAACTACTTAGCTTCTAAGCCGGTCGTCTCTGGGAAGTCTCATATTGGATTGAGGAATAACTTTTCTTAAGAAAGATAAATATGAAAGAACAAAGGTGTTCTTAATCATTCTTGCTTGGCGAAGAGTAATTGTTAAGTTCCAGTCGTTATGAGGAATGATTCTGATCTCCATGTATCTGACAACTATCAGGCAAAATTGTTCGTGAAAATTGTTGTGATGGCCGGCTGAAATTTGGCGAGAATGATGAGGAAATGGGGACTGAGAACAAAAATCTGGCTGTTGTTCCTTGGGTTCCGCGGCTGCAGGTTCCTGCTACCACAACCATGGATGTCGCCCAAGAGGAGGCTCCACAGTTGATGGAAGCTGAAGAAGAAGTTGGAGAGGCAACAATGGAGGTTGAAGATGAAAATTTAAGCAGCCAACGGGCTTATGGATATGGTGGAATGGACGGAGCTAGTGGTATACATCAATGGCACCAACAGCACTGCATGATTCAACAGCTGCCACAACAAACGTCCTCGCCCATAACTTGGTTTCGATGATGGTATGTATGTACATAGTGAAGAATAACATCTCTTGATCTCATGGGGTTGTTAGGTAATACGATAAATTTGCAGCAAATTTGAATTGAAAACCATATGGGTATAAATATATTTGCCTTGTTGCCTTTGCTCTTGTGTTCATCATCATGTGGCACAGCTTTTCTTAGGAAGTGGTGGTGCTTTTGCATGCCTCTGTGGAGTTGCTCTGTTGAGAATTCTGAGACCATGTACAATTTTTTTCTCCTTTTTAGTACTTGCTAGCTGGATTTAATGAATCAGAGTTATCTACTTGCTGTATGATATCTTGAGTGAGAATGGTTTCAAATTTAGATGGGATCATGATGGTATCTTGAGGGAAAATTTCTAGTATTACCATAGTATGTGTTCCTTTTATTCCTAATTTGATGCGTCATTAGATAATATACGTGAATTTCACGCCATTTTCAAATGTGTTTTTTTTTTATGACAAGCGATGAAATGAGGTAACTCGGGGGGATAGAGAACAATGATTCTGTCACAAAAATGAAGACGTTTGCCCTTCAAAAAGAGAGGCAAGTATTGGTGACTTTTGACTTCAAAAAGAGAGCTAATAACTCAGTATCAGTAGCTTTTTCTGTCTTTATAAGCGGGACTTTTAATATCCTTCGATCATTGGGTTGATTTCAATGAAAAAAGCTGATTGTATTCCTGACTTGAGTGTCATTCATATCCTTCTTTGTAAAGGCATAATAAGTGTCCTGTTATTTATGAGTATGGCTCACTGCAGATGGGGTGAATGTGGCAGACAGGATAATGCATGGTGTGGCAGTAGAGATAGTAAAGTTAGATCATTGTGGATAGACTTTAAGAATCTATTTGACACAATTCTAAATAGACATGAAGATAAAGATTTAAGAATAGTACGAAAGGAGGGTTAGTTCTATAACAATCGAATAACAAATATAACTTTTACTGCTTTCAAACAATACAACAACACCTACATTACCTGGAAAAAGTAGGAAAAGTAAAATTTAAAAAACGAAAACTCATTGCCAATAAAGGCACAAGGTGATACCTATACGATTTGGATGTTTACATGCATTATATCAAACCGTTGTGTTGCTCACAGTTTTGAGTATCCAACTTATCTATTCTAGCTGCAGGTTATAGCCTACAATGAAATTACAAAGTCAACTGCCATGTCAAATTCTGCTGAAGCATTCTTCCAAAAGGATGTAATTCCTTCCATATTCTAAGCCTATCTTCATGGGGAAAATTTGTACTGAAGATCTTCAGAAACAAGAGTTACCTACAACCACATTCCTAATGCCGAACAGTAAGTAAAAATTGTAAAGCAAAAACCATTCAGTCGCCACATATGTATTTCTTCTCTGCATAATATTTCTTCTCGCTTTCCACTTTTTTGGCATTGCGTTTCTGCATTGTAAATAAACCAGACAGCAATAGCCCAACAGATGCATCAGATTAAGCACTGGGTTATGGATCAAAACGCCAACAAAGGGTCTGATTAATATAAAGGGCGTAATCCAGTTGACTTCTAAAGGTATTCTTTACTAACAGCAGATAGCATGTTCAAATTTTTTCTTTAGAACTACAGAGATTACTTTTTGGAGTTTAGGCTCAAGAAATAAGAGAAATATAGAGAGTACCTTAAAAGCATCGTGATTGGCCACTATCCTTTTGGCTATTGAAGTAGTGGTAATGTTTTTAGGGCTTTCAAGCAACTTGAAAATTCCCATACTCTTTGGAACGGCATATGGATCACTGTCGCTCTGAAACAGATGAGCTCACCTTGTTAAGGTTTTGTAAATATGAACTTGAAGAAAAACAACAGTAGGAATAGCTCTACTTACGGCAAAAGGGTTGTTTTCAGCAACAGTCCCATGCACAACCAAAGATATATTGAAAGTAGTTATCTGCCAGCAAAAGAATGCTTCAGTCATAAGAACTTCACGGTCACAAGCAAAAGAATGCTTCTTCAGTCATAGCAACTTACCATGTCTCTTGTAATTTCCCAAGGTGCACCGATGATCACCTCATCGACGTACTGGCAACCCAGCACACCGAGACTACGTTCATGTAAATGCATAATTGGAAATTGCTTCCCTCTGAGTTTACTGCAGGTGACAGTGAGTTATTTTCTACTTTTCCACTCGTTAACATCCAAGGTATAAGTACATATCCATAATCTCAGGAAAGTATTCAAAACATCTGGAAGAGAGAAAAACCAGATAGTAGAAATGTACAAATAGGTAAAATCTTATGAACGAAAATAGGTACCTCGCAGTCTGATCATTATGTATGCCAACTAGTAAAAAGTCTCCTAGCTGCCTAGCACTCTTGAGAATCTGAAAAGATAAATGATGATATGATGACACGATAGTATTTCTGAGAAACTATTATGTTACTACTAATTAGCCAGAGAAGCGCAGATCAAATTCATACATAATTGAATTGAGATGGGAAAAGAATGTAGAGTAGATTCGATTGCCACTGTCCACATTAAAAGAAGGAAAATGTTGCAAATGTATAAGCATGTCATTAACATTCCATCGTAGCTCTCAAATAAAGCACACTAAGCCTGTTGGATCTCTAACTAATCCCACCTTCAAAAATGAAACTAAGACAATCATTTTGAAGATATATTCCTGCTGTCTTTTCAACATTGTCAGACACACACCACATGACACACACCACATGTAACATAGCTACTATTCCATGTAATGTTTCTGTGAGATCCCACATCAGTTGGGGAAGAGAACGAAGCATTCTTTATAAGGGTGTGGAAACCTCTCATAACAGACACATTTTAAAAACCTTGAGAGGAAGCCCGGAAGAAAAAATCCAGAGAGAATAATATTTGTTAGTAGTGAGCTTGGATTGTTACGGACTTTCTTTTTCAAAACAAGAAAAATGGACCCCTTTTGAGTCATAAACCCTTTATGGCCCTAGCCAAACTTATAAAGCTTATGCACAATTCTGACAGCAGCATCCTAGTGACATAATCTTTCCCAGCTAAATCCTATAGTCTTAAAGTTGCTTACAAGGCATGTGCTGCTTAATGAACACATAAATACAGACTCAATATGGTTCGTCTCCATAACACAAATCATTTTGCAACTGAACATTTAAAGCAAAGAATTGTTATACACAAGCATGAAATAGAGAAAAGATTGTAAATTCTGCAATACCTCAATATGTCCTGCATGAAAAAGATCAAAAGCCCCATCAATGTATACAATACGAGCATTTGGTCCAGGCCCCTACCATTGGATATGATAATATGTTAGCATTATCATGAAAAAGATCAAAAGCCCCATCAATGTATAAAAAAAATTAGATCCACATCATGCAAACTAAACGATAGAATTTTCTAGATTTAAAGAGTTTTCTATCTCCCCCTAACAACCAGACCGCCACAAACTAAGCAAAAGCACAAGTTCTCCCTTCACAAAAGAATTCTTGATTCCCACAACCTAAACTGATTATGTTATTCCAGTTTTTGTCACAACAAACACCTAAAGGACCAGAAAGGAGAAATTCTCCCGCATAAGGATTCAAGAACATTTAGGTCACCAGAGAACCATACCCTTCCATTTGAAAACTGTACAATACGGTGTGATGTTGGTAGAAAGTGAGAAAGGGCACCATGGGATGAACTTTCCTTGTTAGAATCTCCATTCGGGGATGTTTCATTATGATTTTTAGAATCCGTAGCATCATTCATGGAAGAGAGTATCCTTCCTACATTCAAGAAATTAATGGATTATGGGTTAAAACTTTGAAACAAGAAAATGCAAAACCAAGTAACATTCAAGAGCTCAAATAAGCAAGCAAGTTTAGAATATGCTTCTTGTGACAAACTGCTTACTGAAGATTGAGAAACACAGTACCTACGATATCAGTGCTGGACACTCCTTCAGTACGTTTGATCTGCTTGTACCGACCAGCTTTCTTAGCTAAGGCATAGGCATCAGTCCCATCTGGAAGTAGGCATGGATCATCTCCATGAATAATATAGTCAATCTTGTGCTCATTAAAGAGCCTGTTCATGAATTGCTCTGTAATTGCATATGGGGCGTTGGCAATAACTTCATCCACCCACTTCAAACCACTTACAAGAGCCAGCCTACAAGGAGCCCTTGGTTAGGAAAACCTGAGCAAATTATTGTGGAAACCTACAAAATCTTTTACATGCTTTGCTACAAATTCAATAAGATTTCAGCGGATACCTTTCTTCCATTGGTAACACTGGAGGACCCTTATTGGCTATGATCTCTTCATCACTTACAACACCCACCACCAACTCATCTCCCAACGCCTTAGCTTGCCTCAACGCATTGGCATGACCAAAATGCATGAGATCAAAACAGCCATCCATGTAAACCCGAATGCGCTTCTTTTCACTCTTTCTTTTCTGAAAAATCCCAAAATCAGACCAGAAAAATGGCAAAGATGGTGCACCATTGCCACTGAAATAACTCGTTGAAAATCCAAGCAAGGCCGCTGTGAGCATTAAACCACCAAACAAATGTGGATAGTAGCATACACCATCCCATATCCAACTGTTGCTTTCGTAATCCATTGGTCCCATTTGCCTCTAAATTCTCTAGCCTCTTCCCTTTTTTCTTCTAAGAGGAGACACAAACCCTGCAACCTGCCAACAAGCAAATCAACTTCATCAACAACTTATTCTCATACGGGAAATATTTCATATAGATTTGTTTTCTTCAGCAATAACCAAATTAGCAATCGAAGCAAAACATTGTCGCCAATGTTTAATCGAATTCTTAACCACATAGTAGAGAATACGGAAATCAGATGCAATATTCTGACGATATGATGATACAGATTCGTGAGATATCAGCCAAGTAAACTCAGGAAACAAAGAAATTGCACGAAGAAATCAAAACCAAAACAAGTTGTAAAGTAAAGAACACAAAATTTCCAAATTACTCAGTTCCAAATCTGAACGAGTTACAAGACAAAAAAATCATCGAAATCATTGGGATCTAACACATTTAAACACAAAACGAAAAAGAAAACCAATTCAGCACCTCATAAAAAGAAGAATCCATAAAAAAAATAAAAATAAATAAATAAAAAAAACACAGCGAGAAGAAACAGAACAAAACCTATGAAGAAGGAAAAGAAATGGATGCTCATAGCTTCAGATGCGTCAGAGAATCAGCTCAAAAGCAGATCAAAAATTAAAAAACGAAGAAAGAAGAAAAGAGGATCAACAGAAAAAGAGAAATGCATTTAAAGATGAAAATATAATTAATCGATTACCTCCTTCTGTGTCTCCCCTTGGTTGATGGGTGGAGCTGTCGGCTCAGAATAGACGAACCAAAAGGGGCTCTCCGTTCGTTCTTTCTCGCTCGCAATTCCCAAGATGGACAACGCCCAAAAATATTCCGCTGCTGTCACCTGTCCGAACGGGATATGAGATCTGACGATCAGCTCCCATAAAAAATAATATATATATATATATACTGAAATATTTCCCGTTTATTAAAATTTAATATATTGAAAATAAATATTAAAATAATATTTTAATCTTATGAATTTTTAGCAAGCATTCACGTGATTCCTTCAAGCACCGCGTTTTCTTTAGGCGGTTGGAGTCGGGGCTTCTCCGGTCGTGTAAAACAAATATTTATATTTATATGTATACTAATTAATAATCTTTTTATTTATTTTGCTTTTTTTACAAGTCCCAGTCAGTCCACGTGGCGTCATCGTATTCAACGGATTTACGTGATGCATCTTGCAAATT